CTTGTGGCGTCAAAAAGGCATCTCACTCGATCTTAAGGGTCGTGTGTACCAGGCTGCAGTAAGGGCTGTGTTGTTGTATGGGTGCGAGACATGGCCTCTGCGGACAGATGATGTGAGGCGTCTTTAGGTTTTCGACCACCAATGCCTCAGAAGCGTGGCTGGTTTTGGATAGCGTCAGCGTGTTACTATCGAGGCTGTGCTGCAGGTACTTCAATCCGCAAAAACATCCAGCCTCATCGACTACGATGGCCCGGTCATGTGCTACGCATGGCGGAACATCATCTACCGAAACGAATGTTGTTCTGCGTGCCTGTTTCAGAATGACGCAAACTGCGAGATGGACAGCTCATGACTTGGCAGAAAGGCGTGAAAGAGATCACGAAGGGTTTGGGTGTTGTCGGTGTTGTACGCCTTCCAGGATGGACCCCACCTGTGTTTGGCCAAAGACGTTGCAAGAAATGGTGGCTAATCGATATCAGTGGCGTTCGTTGTTAGTTACTTTCCAGATTGTCTGTTTGAGCGCTTGGGGGTGTAGGCACCTCTGGATACGAACCTTATGGTTGTACGGCAGTGAAGCATCCGTGTCAACACTGATGTTGCTGTCTTTGATAATGATGATGACTTCTAAGTGGATCAACGGCGGCGTAGCATTAGTGTTAAACACTGATGTTATGCTGTCGATGATGATGACTTTTGTGAGAAGAAAACAATCCAAACCGGTCTGCACTGTGTCCGTTATGAAGATGTGGTCATCTATTGCTCTGATCCGGGATAGCCTGGAAGTTGAAGCACGAACTATTGACGAGCGAATCAGTGTTTTTCATATTGTCTAGGTTTTGGTAACCTGACAATATCTCATCCCATATATCTCTTCTGCCCTGCATTGCACGCTTGATTGAACTTCGGGATGTGTTCACTTGTCCCGCCATGTCTCCTTAGGCTGAAACAACATGATCGATACCAGCACGAGGTACGGGCATCATCATCCACAGCTTTGTGTGTAAGCTGAACAAATTTCTTCATACTCTGTTGTCCATAAACAGACTGACACGTCGTGAACCTTCACTTTAGGTACTTGGAATGTGTGCGCACTGATACATGCATGGGATTACCCACAGCTTTTCGTTTTCTTCAATTCCGGTCACTAGGCAATGTTGCTTTGTTCCTCATTCACCTCCAACGAACCCGACTCTGTGCGCCTCGTCCGTCCCGTGGAAGTGCCTCCAGATTCGGTTCTTCCACCGGGTACTCGTCTGATATTTCATTCACCAGGGTCGGCTGAGAATGTTCGCCAACCGGATGCTGTCATTAACCCAAAGACCAAGTTGTGGGAACGAATTTGTCCAGATTTGACTGTGGGATCCGGAGATCATGTTGTTAGATGGAAAGACTGGCGACTCGGGACGGAGAATGCAACGCACTGGGCCAAAGGATCAGACGAATTGCCTGACGGTGCATCTGTCAGCTAGAGCTGATCTCATCCCTACACATCGACAATGACAATTGTCAGTATACCGATTTTCTCGAAGTCACTTTCTTCTTTCATTGAGTATGGCGCATTCTTACTGACGCCACTCCCATTTGTTTGATGACGCTTGCCTGTTCATTAACTTGTTATTTGTGTAACTTGTGAGATATATAAGTTACTTCGGAGACCACTTTTACTCACCATAGATGCATTGCCAATACAACTGTTAGGATTTGCCCCTTACCTGTGGTGAAATTCACAGAGATCTAGGCTCACCTAAAAAAGCGTTACCCGATGTGCCATCTCGTTCATCGGTCAAACGCTTCGCGACGAACCCGCTGACCACCGGTACTATATACCAAACTCATATAACTGCCAGCATAAATTGGAATCATCGAAGCGCCCACAAAATATAACAACTCTATCACAAACCAGCACAAGCAAACCCATCTGAGTAACTCAATAAAATATAGTAACCGACCAGAGCGCATTGTATAAGCTGTCTTATAACACAACACCACGATATTCACAAATGACGACCACCAACGTAGGATTGAAACCTTCACAGAGGGAAACAAACTACAGAGTACATGCCGATCAAAGGCTTCTAGAGTCACCAAAATTCACAAAATACGTGCTCCTGGATAAACCGCGATGGGTGTGAACGGCAAAAAAAATCGCGTGTATTCGAGTGTGCTCACAGCTA